CCTCATAAGCAAAGGAAGGTCCCACAGTCTTTTCTCCCACGAGCTTTACTCCATTCACATCATCACAGTCAACTCTACTTTGAGGAGGCAGCTCTTCCCCAGTCACATTTTGACTGCCTTCCAAACTAAGGGGCTCATTTTCTGGCATTATATCTGACAGTGTTTCTTTGCGATCATAAGGTTTTCAATGACTAAATACTTGGAAATAGTTCATCACTCCTTCTTCCTAGTCTGTCTTCATCTGGAAGCTTATCTGAAACCTGTGGTGACCATGGGTGACCCTGCTGGTATTTAAAATATTGGTGGCATAGCATCCAGAATCACAGCAACTCACAAGCCGTGACAGTACGACAAACTGACAGATGAGTGGTGGTATGGATTAATTGCTGCCATTATGTTTGGTTTTTTGTGGTGCTGGTGCTTTCTTTGTTTTGCATGTCTTCCTGTGCTGAGTTCATGGTTTTTGTGTTCTTTCTTGTAAGTTTCCTCATAGCTTTAATGTTTCCTTGTTCTTCTTGGATTTTCATTTTCTTGGTATGTTGAGAAGTGTTAATTTTCTTTGAGGTTACCTTATATTCCATTAGCTTTTCCCTCCATTTAGTGCAGTCTATTTTATCCTGTACTCTACCTGATCTTCTCAACCATCTGGATCTCTGTTCCTAAATTTTTACCTTCTTTCACATTGCAATTGCTTTTATCATAGACTGGCCTCCCAGATCGTCTGAGTTTTGTTCTATTCTTAACTCTTCCATTTGTCAATTGAGTTCTAGGAAGTGCTGCCGTGTATGTCAATCTCTGGTTGTTGCCTGTTCTTGTTTGTTCTCAGTCCACAGAACTTCCTTTAGGATGTTTTGTAGCTCAGGGTTGGCTCTAGCAAAGCTTCTGCTTATCCTGGAATATTTTCATTACACTGTCGTATTTGATTGATAGCTTTGCTGGATAAAGGATTCTTCGTTGGCAGTTTTTTTTTTTTTTTTTCCTTTTAGGGTTTTATGTATCTCCCATTGCCTTTTTGCCTGCATGGTTTCTGCTGAGAGATCCGATCTTAATCTGACTTGCTTGTCTTTGTATGTAACACTTCTGTTTTCCCTAGCTGCTTTCAGGATTGTCTCCTTATCTTTGATTTGGGAGAGGTTGATTATCATATGTCTTGGTGATTTTCATTTGTGGTCTATCCTTCCTGGGGTTTGTTGAGATTTTTGAATGCTTATCTTTTTGCTTTTCAGGATATTAGAGTAATTTTCTTCCAGCAGCTCTTCATCTTGCTCCTCTGTGGACTAGTGTGATTATTCCTGTACCAGAATGACGATAATTCTTAAGTTATTCCTCCTTATGTTGTCCAACATGAATCTTAGACCTTATTTTTTTTATCCTTTTTTTCAAGTTACTCTTCTATCTTAGTAGTATTGAGAGATTTGTCTTCCAGCTCACTATTTCTCGCTTCCATCTCTTCAATTGTACTCCTTTACCCTTTCAGTGTATTGTCTATTTCTGATATTCCATTTTTAATCATTTGAACCTCTTTCTGTAGGTTTTGAATTGTTTCCGATGCTGTATCTATCTTATTTAATTGTTGCTGTAACACTTTCCTGACTTCTTCCTTATTTTTGTCAACTCCATTGTAAAGTGTTTTTGAAACGTTTTATAAACATTTTCCTGAATTCCTTCTCAGGTATTTCCAAGGCCTGCCCTCCTTCCAGAATGTAGACCAGATCTACCTCTAGGTCATTTGTCTCAGACATTTTGTCTTGTTTCTGGACATGTGCTGATATGGTCATCTGTTTTTGCTTCCTGGACATGTTCAGTGGTTGGCTGTGGCCTTAATACTTAACTGAGTGTGTGTTTTGGTGTTTTTTTCACTTTCTGATTGACTCCAGGTAGATGTGGTCAGGAAGTGGGCTTCCCTTTTCACTCTTCTTATATCTTAACTCAGAGTAACTTTCACAGGTATTGTCTGCCTCCCTGGTGTATGGCAGTTGGTATTGGTTCTTGCCTGGATTGTGGTGTTTTATAGGGTTTGGTTATAGCTTAACTATATGGCAGCAATTGGTATCTCTTCTTGGGTAATATAGGAAGAGAAAGAGCTCCCTAAAAGTCAAAGGGGAAACCAAAAAAAAAAAAAGAGAGAGAGAGGAGAGAGAAGAAAAAAATCTGTAGCCTAATATGAGTAACTTTAATATCCTCTTTCAGCTTCTTGCCTTCAAGCCCGCCTGATAAATTTCAAGATGCCACTATTGGTTTTTATGCTGTACCTCAGGATTTAATTTTCAGCCTGTTTTGTTTTTAGACTCTCTCCCACTCTACACTCCCTGTTCTGGCCTTTTCCCTATTAATAAACAGTTCAGGGCTGGCTGTGGCCATTTTGTATTGTTGGTTGGTTTTAAGCAGGTGTTGGCATTTTAAACGACCCCTGTTCTGCCCTTTTCCCCCATTAATAAACAGTTCAGGGCCAGCTGTGACTGTTTTGAGCTGCTGGTGGTTTTAAGCAGGGATTGGACCTTTGACCACTGAGAGGATCTGTGAGCATGCACAGTATGCATGGTAGAAGAACCCTCCAGTGGTGGGTGTGGGTGTGTCCACTCACTTAAGCACCCTCTCTAGTCACCAGAATGGAGGTGCACAGACAGCGAGAGGCCAATGAACAGATACCAAAAAAGTCAGACCAAAGCAAAACCAAACAAAGAATATTGTCCACCTTTGTCTCCAAGGTTCCTCCAGGCATTAGTCCATGACTGGTCTCCTTGCTCCCCTACTTGGTCTTGCTGTTTGGTCTCATCCAAGTTGTCAGCTCCGGGCTGCTGAGTCAGTCCAGCAGATTCAAAAGTCCAAGATGTCTTGCTTCCACTACAAGTTCCACTAGCTATAAGCCTTTAAACTTTTTAAATATTCCTATATATGTGGTTCAGAGTTTTGGAGCTCTCCCCTGAACCCGCTTCACCTGGTATTCTGTGTTATTGCTGATGGAGATCTTCACTGCACTTCTACCCTATTTGCCATCAAGGCCCGCCTCTGTAAATAAAGTTTTACTGAAACACAGATACTCATATTCATTTACATGTTGTTGATGGCTGCTTTCACCTTACAATGGCAAAGTTAAGTAGTTGTGGCTAACAGACCTTATTAGTCCGCAAAGGTAAAAGTATTTACCAAATGGTCTTTTACAGGATAATTCTATTGAAACTGGCTGTAGCCCAAAAGGTAGGAAAGTAAAGTTTATGCTATAAAATCAATAGCATTTTGTCTAAATTATATAGCTCTACTAAAGGATGCAACAGAAAACAATAGCTTTTTACTACAGTATAATTTAATGATTGGGAGCAAAGGCTTTGAAGTCAGACATGCTGGGTTCAAACCCTAGTTTCTCTACATACAAGTTGTGTAATCTTGGACAAGTCACAGAGCCTTCTCTGAACCTTGCTTCCCCACCTATAAAACAGAAATATTGGCATGCCAAAGCCTGAGGACAGTTATGACAGTCACCCCTACTTACTTCTGGTACAAGAGGGACAATCACCACAGAATCAAGAGTTGACATATTCTACTATAGAGGTTGTGAGCTCCCAAAAAATTACCTGTTGAAGAAGGAGGCAGTTATCATAACTCAGAGGAAGGTCAAAATAAAAGTCCCTAAAGGTCTTCAGAGTGCAACGTAATTGGAGCTGAGAGATGTAGCCCTATTAGAAATGTAGCATCCAGTTTTTCCAGTCACCTTCAAGGAAATTCCAGCACCCACAGAAAGAGCAAATCACCACCCTCCTTAATTATACTTTTGGCATACAGACTTGTTTCTTCTTATCATTTTATGAGCTTTTTGAGCTCAGAGACCATGTTTGATTCTCTTAGCATAGTGTCTAGCACATCATAGCTGTTCATTATACTTGGAGTAGACCACAGAGTCTTTCATTATAGTCAATCTCTTATCATCCATACCCTGGTGGTGGTGGTGGTTTGCCATGGAGTCAGTTCTGACTCATAGTGACCCCTGTATAGGGTTTCGAGGCTGTAAATTTTTACTGTAGCAGAAAGCCTCATCTGTCTCCTAAGGAACTGCTGATAGTTTTGAACTGGTGACCTTGAGGTTAGCAGCCCGACTCGTAAACACTACACTACCAGAGCTTCTTGCATCAATACTTTACTCATTATGAAAAACCAGATCATCTTCAAGCCAGGAGAGCAGATGCACAGTTGAGAGACCACCAAACAAATAATGAGTCATAGTTTCAGTTGATGGTTGTGAAAGTTCCTGAGGCAACATGTCCTTAAAACAGTACCAAGCATCATGAGATACTCTACAGTCTTCAAATATCTGTAAACAGGATGGAGACTGTGAATCATGCATCAGTATTTCACCATCTCAAGAGCAACAACAGTTAGATCTTTGGATATGATGGGCAAAAAATGTCTCTACTGGTCACAAATGGAGTCCTCAGATGAGAGCTAAAAATGTTAGCTGTCCCTCAATAGTGACACCCTAGTTAACTTGGGAAATGGTCTACAGAACACAGACCATGCCCTTTACAGATATCCATAGAACTGCTTTCCTCCATAGTCTCCCAAATCTAACAGCCAGAGAATGCAAGTGAGAAGACAGAGAAGTACACACCATACTGTTACATCAGGCCTGCTCTTAAAAAGATCATTGACGCAAAATTCTTATGATCTGGGGGGAAAAAAATCAAAAACATTTTCCGATGTCTTTTAGTGACCTAACTTGAGTTTAAACACAACCTAGTATCATGAAGTCCTAGTTTACCAGTCCAGCTCTCATTACCCAGTATGTGACCTTGGATAAATTGCTGTAAGGATGAAAAGTCAAGATTCAGTAAAATAATGTATCTAAATCACACTGCTTAGCACATAGCAGATGCTCAGCCAAACTTAGTTCTCTCCCTTTCTTCTTAATTCATGAGGGAGAGTCCCAACTATGAATTAACAAAATGACAAACTAGAATATACTGCTTTGGTTGGTTCAGCTATATTGTTAATTTGTCTTCTTTAAGGTGTCCTGGTCAATGAAATACTAAAAAACATGAAGACTGCAACTCAGACATCAAACCACAGAAAACTTATCATGTATTCTGGAGTAAGTATTTTTTTCTTCATTCAACATCCACTTGTTCAAGTGTGTGATTTGTTTGAGGATGGGGGTCTCATCTTTGTGTTCCTTTCCCCATTGTCTAATAGATGGTAAGACTACTGTTGAAACTTACTGGAATGAAATACATAATTCTGTCCCTTGAGGAATTTGCAATCTAATACTGACAATAAGACAAGTAAACATATCAACACCATACAAGCATTGTAGACATGCCAAATAAGCAAGTGCTTTGATGACTCAGAAGGGAAGCAATATTTCTGTCTGGGGAGGGTGGAGAAGAGAAGCAGGAAGGATTTTCATCAAAGGCATCCAGATGGAAGGGGTTAGTAAGCAAGCAATTCCTCATTGCACTGTGGGTTATGCATATGAAGGGTATTAGGATAGAGGCTGGGAACATGTGGAGAAGTTGGTAAGAGATTGTTGTTGTTGTTAAGTGCCTTTAAGCTGGTTCCAACTCATAGTGACCCTGTATAAGGTTTCTGAGAAGCTGGTGGTGGGTTTGAACCACCAACCTTGTGGTTCAAACTGACTTTGGGGTCCAGCACATTATCCTGCAGTGCCACACTATAAGGTATGTATTAACTATGCTGTCCAGAACAGAACCCAGTAGCTATATATGGCTATTTAAGTTAATTATAATTAAGTGGAATGAAAAATTAAGTGCCTCAGAGGCATTAGCCACATTTCACATGCTCAATAGCCTTAGATGGGTAGTGGCTACTGACTGAAACCACATAGAAATAAAACATTTTCATCATTGCATAACGTTGTTATTGAACAGTGCTGATCTTTAAATATTTGACCTGGAAGGCAGGTTAAAGGCCACCTGGGCCAGCTTCTTTGGTTAATAAATAAGAGGAATAATGAAGCAAGGGAAAACCTCCTGAAGGTGTTTTCTTAAGGGACAAGGGGCAAAGGATGACAAGAATAGTAGAATGGACTGGAGGAGGGAGAGGGTGAGAAGAGAATATAGTGTGCAAAGCTTTCGCAATCGCTGGAAGAATGGGGATGTGGCTTAAAACCAGGGCAGCAACAGGAGAGGAAAAGAGGTAGTAGTGTTTCAAGGGAAAGCTGAGTGTACAGGACTCATTAACAAACTGGAATGTAGGTAAAGGGCAGTGAGGTAGAAGGTGAAGCCACACATGATGACAAGTCTACAAGCCTTGAAGCCTGGAAGGCTGGTAGAACCATCAGCACCAGTGACTGTACTGACTAGACAACTGATTATGAAATGCCAGAGGCATCCAAGCAGGAAACTCCAGATAAAAGGAAAGAAGAGAAGAAGCAAAGGCCAACTGCAAGCTGAAGTTAGGGACTATTTGGGGGCAAAAGGAGAAAAAAAAAAAAAAAAAAAGATCCTGAAGAAGACTTCATTTTGGAACAAGAACCAAGGAAAGAGACATTGTTGAGAAAGAGTGCTAGGGATCAGGCTTTGAAATGGGTGCCCAAGGAATTTGGGGTGAATAGAGAAGCATGACAGTAAGCTAAATTTTTCTCTCACCACCACCTCCATAACAGAAGTTTCTCAGATGTAATTTGGCTGGAGAAAGCTGTGCCTCCATTAATGCAATAAAGTGAAAGCTGTGATAGAAAATTGAAGTTTGCTATAGTTGTTACTGTTAAGCACTTTCGAGTCCGTTTCAACTCATAGCCACCCTGTATAGGGTTTCTGAGGAACAGCTGGTAGATTTGAGCTACTGACCTCTTGGTTAGCAGTGCAATGCTTATCATATAGCACCGTTGGGGATTCTAAATGGTATGTCTTGTTGTTAAAGTGCCATCCAGTTGGTTTCAAACTCATAGCCACCCTATATAGGGTATCCGGTGCTTGTAAATCCTTGTGGGAGCAGAAAGCCTCATCTCTCTCCCAAAGAGTGGCTGGTGGGCTCCAACCACCGACCCTGTAATTCACAGTCCAGTGCTAATTCCGTGGAGCCATTGAGCACTCCATAAATGGTATCAACTATAGGAACTATCCATGAAGGGAGAAGAGTGCAGTGCTTCCTTGAAAGAACCAGTAAAACCAGTTGCCCTTGTATGTCAGGGTAGCATTGTGCTCCAGAGGGTTTTCAATGGCTGTTGTGTTGTGTTGTTTTTTTCAGAAGCAGATCTCCAGGTCTTTCTTCCACAGCATCTCTAGGCAGACTTGAACCTCCAACTTTTCAATTAGGCTTCTTCCTGGAGAGAGAGAGAGCCTGAAGTTGGTTAAATCTGATGGTTTCTCTACTTCTCTTATCTGGTTTCCAGTTCTAACTTGCACAACTTCTGGCAAGTCTTCTATCCATAACTCCATCTCTTTCTCTGTTCAGCCAGTTCTACCCCCTTTTGAAGAGCTCTAGTGTGGTGCTGTGGGTTAATGCACCGGATTGCAAGCTCGAGATGAATTGCAACGTCAGCGGTTCAAGCTCACCAGCCACGCCTTGGGAACTGTATACAGGGTCGCTATGAGTCAGAACTGATTTGTCAGCTGTTAACAACAACCACCTTTTGAATACATGAATGCTGCCATACAGTACAGGCAGCCAAATGCTATCCACCTTTTACACAAATGAAAATTGGGGATTGCCTAAAATTAGAAAGTGAATTAATGGTAAAACTAGGACTGAAATAACAGTCTTCTATGCTTTCCTGCCACTCTGAAAAAAGACAAAACAAAACAACACTTAAGTTTATAATTATTTTTAAACTGCACACTCTTTTTCTTTCATTTTATCCTCTGTAAACATTTATAACCTTATTACACTTCCCCAACTTTAAAATAAAAGATGATACTACTATATAGAAAAATATAATCTACTATTTGTTGTTGTTGTTAAGTGTCGTTGAGTCAATTTCAACTCATAGATACCCTGTATAGGGTTTCTGAAGCTGTAAACCTTTGCAGGAGCACTAGATCTGTCTCTTGTGAAGTGGCTACTGGGCACTTGTGACTTGCAGTCCAGTGCATATCTTATAAAGCCACCATGAGTCTAAAATTAAAGTGTCCCAATTAAGTACTGTACTGCTAACCGAAAGGTGGATAGTTCAAGCCTACCAGTCCCTCCTTGGAAACTCTATGGGGTCTTGCTATGAGTTGTAATAGACTCAAGGACACTTAACAACAGCAATACATTAAAATATTTATTGAAAATCAACGAAAGGCACAGAGCTTAAAGTTAGAAAACTTGGTTTAAAATTATTTTCTCCTCTTTTAGGGTCTATATGACATTCAAGGAGCTTTTGTGGCTTAATGGATTACACATTGGGCTGCTAACCACTCACACACACACACACACACACACACACACAGAAAGCTCAAATCCACCAGCTGATCTGCTGGAGAAAGATGATGTTTTCTGCTTCGGTAAAGATTTACAGTCTTGGAAACCCTGTACAGGGTAACTATGAATGGGAACCGACTATGGCACACACCAATGGTTTTAAGCAAATTAGTTTATTGGGGTCTGAATGGAGAATGATAATATGTTTGTAAATCAATCTACATAGCATGCAGCAAAGGAACCCTGGAAGCACAATAGTTAAGTGTTGGACTGTTAACTGAAAGGTTGACGGTTTGAGCCCACCAGAGACCCACAGGATAAAAGTCCTGACAATCGCCTCTAGGAAACATTTGTTGTTGCTGTTAAGTGTCGTCGAATCAGTTCCAATCTACAGTGACCCTGGATAGGGTGACCGAGGAGCGGCTGGTGAGCTTGAAACGCTGACCTTGTGGTTCAAACCGACTTTGCAGTTCATCGTATTAACCCACAGTGCCACATCAGGACTTGGTAACCCCATGAGACTGTGCTACACTGTCACAAAGATTTGGAATGCACTGGATATCATATAACAACAAATAAGCATGCTGGAGTCCTGGTGTGGCTTTGTGGAGTAATGCGTCAGTCTGCAAAACTGTTTGAACTCCGAGGTCGGCGGTTCAAGCTCACCAGCTGCTCCTTGGAAACCCTATACAGGGTCTCAGGGTCGGGATCAACTTGACGGCACTTAACAACAACAGACACACTCAACCAAAATGAGTTCTTTTGCTCTCTTCTTATTAAGTCATGGGAGTGTGAGGAATTCATTCGGACCATTTGTGAGAAATAAGCCATCGTGGTACTCTCTATGTGCTAAAAACTTCTGAACATGACTCTGAACCAGAGGTAAGGATCAGAGATGATTTCTTGTTCCAAATTTCTCTAGCATGACACTACTCTGAGTGGACTACAGATGGCGCTAGATGTTTACAATGAACAACTTCCTCCATACGCTTCCTGCCACATCACAGAATTGTACCTTGACAACGGGTAAGTTTCTGAAAGTTATTTATCAAAATCAGTATCACTGATCTCCAGATTTGCTATTATTTTATTATTGGCTTAAGGGTTGTTTTGTCTGGTTTGGTTTGATATTCAAAGGGGAAAATAATGGCAAGTTAGCAGTATCTTTGCCTATTCATGTCTCTTTCATCATTGCTTCCCTGAAAACTTTTATTGAGAACTATGCTGTTGATAAGTGCTGTATAGGGTTTGCAAGGCTGTAAATTTTTGTGGGAGCAAAAAGCCTCGTCTTTCTCCCACAGAGCGGCTGGTGGGCTGAACTGATGACCTTGTAGTTTGCAGTCCAGCGCTTATCCTACAGTCACCATGCTCCCATGTATATACATGTTATTGTTAAATGCATTAGAGTCAGCACTGGCTCATAGCAAACCTATATAGGGTTTCTGAGGAGCAGCTGGTTTGAACTGCCAACCTTATAGTTTGCAGTACAGTGCTGGTCCTATACACTACACCAGGAGACCATGTACTACACTGTTTTTAAGTACAATCAAATCGGTTCCCACTCACAGCGACCCTGTATAGGGTTTTTGAGGAGCAGCTGGGGGGGTTGAACTGCTGACCTTGTGGTTTGTAGTCCAGTGCTGATCCTACAGTACCACATTAGAAGTTCTGTCTTTGTATGTTGTTGTTGTTGTTGTTGTTGTTAAGTGTCAATGAGTCAGTTCTGACTCATAGGACCCTGTATAGGTTTTCCAAGGAGCAAGTGGTGGGTTTGAACTGCTAACCTTGTGTTCACAGTCCAGTGCTGATCTTACAACGCCACACCAGGAGGCCTGTCTTTGTATTGTTGTTGTTGTTAGGCACCATCAAGTCGGTACCGACTCATAGCTACCTTGTGCACAGCAGAACGAAACATTGCCCGATCCTGGGCCAACCTCACTACCGTTACCACACTTCAGTGCATCAATGCTGCCACTTGGCCAATCCATCTCGTTGGGGTCTTCCTCTTTTTCTCTGACCCACCAGCTTAACAAACATGATCTCCTTCTCCAGCGACTGGTCCCTCCTGACAATATGTCCAAAGTATGAGAGACAAAATTTGGCCATTCTGGCCTCCAAGGAGCACTCTGGTTACACTTCTTCCAAAACGGATCTATTGGTTCTTTTGGCAGCCCATGACACTTTCAATATTCTCCTCCAACACCATAACTCAAAAGCATCAATTTTTCTATGGTCTTCCTTATTTACCATCCAGCTTTTGCATGCATATGAGGTTATTGAAAATACCATGGCTTGGGTCAGGTGCACCTAGTTGTCAAGGAATTCATTCTTCTTAGATCAACTATCAACACTTATGAAAGCAGTAGTCAAGAAATCAAACAACATATTGCATTAGGCAAACCTGCTGCACAAGACCTTTTCAAAGTTTTAAAGAGCAAAGATGTCAGCTTGAAGACTAAGGTATGCCTGACCCAAGCCAGAACAAGTCTTCTTCAGTAAAGATTTGTAGCCTCAGAAACTCTATGGAGCAGTTCTGGTAGCGTAGTGGTTACGAATCGGGCTGCGAACCTTAAGGTCAGCGGTTCGAAACTACCAGCCGCTCCGCGGGAGAAAGATGAGGCTTTCTACTCCCGTAAAGATTTACACCCTCGGAAACCCTGTACAGGGTCGCTATGGGTCGGACCCGACTCGATGGCACTTAACAACAACAACAACAAAGGGTCAGTATGAGCTGGAATCAATTCAATAACAAAATCCAGACTCAACTCTAGGCGCAGACAGCATTTTTTCAAGGATAATAAAAAAGGAACTTTACTCTGGCCTCCATCCTTGCTGTTTTCTGTTCCTAGGTAACCTGAGCCTGGTTTCTTAGGGTACTGCTGCATTTTGCCCATTGGATCTCTACCTATCACCATCTTGAGTAAAACTTTGTTATAAATCAACTATGGCGTATTTTTCAACTGAGAGATGTTGACAAAAGCAACCAAGAGTCATGTATAGGTAGAAGTCAAGTTTAATGTTATACTGGTATTTTTTTTATTGATTTATTTACTTTTACATTTTAGAAAAATATCAAAAGTAAAACTTGTCTGTCTTTAATTAGGAACGAGGAGAATACAAGTAAACAAAAGCTGCATATACTTACATATCAAATGATTCTAACTATTTGGCAGGGTTCTCCAGAGACACAAAACCTATAGGAAGTATACTTCCTACACTTCCTGTCTCTGGAGATTCCTGCCAAATATATATATTTATATTGGAGTCCTGGTGTAGTGCCATAGGATAAACACTTCATCTCAAGGCCGGTTTGAACTACAAGGTCAGTAGTTTAAACTCATCATTCGCTCCTTGGAAACCCTATACAGGGTTGCTATGAGTTGGAACCTATTCAATGGCACTTAACATATATGTATATTTTGAAAGAGAGGGTTTTTTTGTTTTTGTTTTTGTTTTTGTTTTTGTTTTAAGAAATAAGATTGCAGGCTGGCTGGAAATTCCAGCAGGATTTCTCTATCACAAGGAGCCCTGATGTCAAATGGCTAAGCACTCGACTGCTAATCAGGCAGCTTTTGGTTGGAACGCACCAGCCAATCCAAGGTGAAAAAGACCTGGTGTTCTGCTCCTGTAAAGACTGCAGCCTAGAGAACACCATGGAGCAGTTCCCCTCAGTCCTACAGGGTCACTGGGAGTCCGAATTGACTTGCTGGAACACAACAACTGTATTACATTTTTAGGCTTATCATTATCTCTTGGAAAACGTGTTTTGCTCTTCAGACCTTTAAGTAATTGGTCGAAGCCCACCCACATAATGGAAGACAATCTCTTATACTGAGTCAACTGATTGTAAATGTTAATCATATCAACAATGTATTTCCTCAGCAATATCTAGCCTAGTGTTTGACCAAATAATTGGCTGCTGTAGCCTTGCCAAGTTAACTCTAAAATTAACCATCCCAGTCTGCCCCTTGTGGTAACCATACACATCTCCTTAAACCATACTTAATCTCAAAGTAAAGGAGCTCTGGTAGCGTGGTGGTTACAAATCGGGCTGCGAACCGCAAGGTCAGCAGTTCGAAACTACCAGCTGTTCCATGGGAGAAAGATGAGGCTTTCTACTTCTGTAAAGATTTACAGCCTTGGAAACCCTGTACAGGGTCGCTATGAGTTGAAACCGACTCCACGGCACATAACAACAACAACAATCTCAAAGTAAGTACAGTAACAAAGTGGTACTTCAACCTTCCATGATACAACTCTCCTGTGTAGAACCCAAAACACATTAACCCTTTCCCCAGAAGAGAACACAAAGTTCTTGGGGAATGTTCACTCTTCTCCTTGATAACCTATGACTTAAAATACTGTGATGTAAAGTCAGTACATCATATGTTATATGATAAGGGAATAAGAAAGAGAGAAAAATAAACATATTTGGCATACACATATACACCCATAACAAAATAAAAATACAACAATTGTAGTTCTCATGTCTGCAGCATGATCATGTGATCATACAGCTTGTATTTAAAGCTATCTTCTTCCACTGTGCATTTCATATTTCCTTTGCCCTCAGCAAGCATCTCAGTTGGTTATGATTCTTTGTCTAGCGCGGTGACCTAAAATTGTATTCCTGCAGGATCTGGGTCATTAGTCATCCTACTGAGTTAGACTATTGAAGTTTTCCATTGCCTTTCATCACAAATAATGGTAGTATTAAGAGATGCCCTAAGGGCTCTCTAGTATCACACTCTTCCTTTCCTTCATTGTGTAATAGCAGTCCAATTTCCCCTTGGCAATCAGGACCAACCACACTGGTCAATATGGTAACTCTCTTCTTTGCCTGTTGATTCAAAGGCATGGGGAGTCCAAAGAGGCCAAGTAGCATTCTTAACATCCAGATCAATGGAATCATTGTTGTGTCTCCTGATGGAAAATCTTTGTCAGACCATCAATACATGGATGAAAGCCATACCCCCAAGGAAACTCCCCTCACATCTTATTTGTTGATCACATTAGATCACATCATAGCGGTGATTGCATTATATTACAACCCTGAGGAAAACTACACCATAGAAAACTACCAAACCATGGAGATTCATGGCGGAACCAAGCTGACACATAGCCTTAACTTCACAATACCACTTCTGTTTGATGAGGGAGTACTGCTGTCCGTGCCTAGCTTTATGACTGTAGGTCGGACAACACCCAATTCATGATGGGTATTCCGGCCACATAGTAACTTGGTGGCCCATAGTTAAGCATCAGTCTCTACTAAGGCCCAGTAGCAAGTCAAAATTCTTTGCCAAAAGAAAGCAGTTCTCTGCAGAGGATGACAAGGCTGTTCTTCGGCATCCTAAGACTTTGTGCTGTGATTTGCCAATAGAAGACTGCCAAAGACTCCAAACAGCATCTTTATCTGCCACGGACACTTCAAGCACCACTGGATTAGACAGAACATATGATTGCAAGTGGCAGAACAGCTTGCACAACAGGCTGGACCTATTGCAGATTATTCTTATTCTGGACCCTACTCAAAATTAGCAGCTTTTGTTAATCATTTGGTACATGGGCCAGAGTAGCACACAAATGAGGAATATATTGCCTCCAAAATCCAAAAAGACCCATTAGGCATTGTGCCTTCTTTTTAATTGTAGGAAGGGCCAGATGCAATGATTTGTCATTTACCTTAGAAGGGATATTTTGACATGCCTCACACACCACTGAACCTATAGACATTTCATTGAAGTGTGGCACTGTAGGACTGCAAACCACAAAGTCAGCAATTCAAACCCACCAGCTGTTCCTCAGAAACCCTATAGAGGTGAAATGACTTTGAACTAACTAAATGGCACTTAGCAACAACAGAAGGCTTCTAAATTTGAATTAGGTTTATTTTTCACCCTCCTGCATGCATGTGTCTTTATAGTAAATCTAGAATAGTTGCTATTTCTTCCACACTTGATTCATCAGCATAATGTCATAATAGAAGTGTGGTAGCTTGTGGAAGGAAAAAGCAATCAAGTTCT